TTGCTCAATGCTCACAAGATCAGGCTACTCTGAAAAGAGCATGAGGTGTCATAGAAAGAAGGGCAATTTTTTGTTACGATGATCTTTATAACTACTGGCTGTACCCACGATGTCCTTGAACAGTCCTTTCACTAAACGGAGTGCATCCATCCGACACCACCCTGGTGGGCAGGATGCACAGGTGCCACCATCCCTGAAAGAGGGGGCCTGGAAGATGGAAGCCCGAAGGTGGAAAACGTTCAGCCTCAGGTACGAAAGCTCAGGTGAAGAAAAAAGAAAGGCGTGTTCTTGCAGAGGATGGCAACCTCTCAAAATTTCCGGTCCTCCTAACTACAGAGGGAGCAGTGTTTTGTTGAGGGTTGGGTAATTCTCCAGTGGGGTAGGGCGGGGCTTCCCTGATGGGAATCAGGTTGCGTGGGGCCAAGTGGATGACTGCTGGCTGTTACCTCGATGTGTTGTGGCTCTGACAAGCCACCACAGCACACCTGTCAACAGATTTGTCAGACGAATACCGACCCGCCTGGCGAACCTGGCCCTCCTCTCTGCCGAGCTGGTTTTGACTCAGAACTTGGGTGTCCTGTTTTACATACTCACGGACCCACCTGCTCTGTCCTGATCCTGCCTCGCGTTGCTGGCTCGTCCTCTCCCTCTCTGCAGTTCTGGTAACAATGATTTTGCTTTAGTTTCTGTGTTTTCTTTAAATCTGTATGAAATTCTGGCCTTGCCCACTGTGCAAAGTCCCGAGAATCCCCTAACAAACAGGAGCCTCCCCGACCAGATGGTCTCGCCTGGGCTTCCTCATCTGTGTCTTTAAGGAGACAACACAAGGAAGCGCTGAGAGTTGGAATCTGGATTCTAATAACTCTGGGCTTAAGACCCAGATTTGCTTCTAAGTCTTCTAGCATCTGTGGTCTTTAAAATAGCCTAGTCCCAAAAACTAATGATGTAATGTATGGTGATTAACATAACAATAAAAAATTTTTAAAAATAGCCTAGTTCCTTTGTCACAGAGATAAGGGCAGGGATAAATGGCTCAGGCCATGCCTTTGATAAATGCCCAAGAAGTTAGTAAGTGCTAAATAAAGTTAGCTATTTTTATTACTACCCTCATTGGGTTGAAATTCCCCAGCATATTTTAAACTATGTATAAGTCATAAGATGAGGACCACATTTTCCTTATTTAATGCCCTATTTCCAGCCTCTAACACATAGGAGGTGCAGAGTAAACTTTTTTTTAAGATTTTATTTATTTATTTATTTATTTAGAGTGTGAGCAGGGGGAGGGGCAAAGGGAGATGGAGAATTTCAAGCACACTCTACCCTCAGTGCAGAGCCTGGCGCAGGGTTCATCATGACCCTGAGATCATGACAAGAGCTGAAACCAAGAGTTGGACGCTAAACCGACTGAGCCACCCAGGCTCCCTGCAGAGTAAATTTATTTAAATGAATGACTTGTAACTCTGAGGAGTTGTTTGAAAATTTCTTTGTCAGGGATCAGAAAGACACCCCTAGAAGGAGACCTCTGAGCCCCCCAGTCCTGCACAAAGTAGGCTTATGGTGGAACTGAAAAGTGGTTCCATGTTAAAAGTTTCTCCCTTCTGGAAGCTGCCAACGTTCAGATTCCTGAACACGTAATACAAAATCAAACTAAAAATATGACATTTACATGATTGATGAGAGTGATAGTGATGTACCTTGAGGCTTCTACTAAGAATATAAATTTAAAGAGTATTTTTAAGAGACAGCCTTAAAGGCAAGAAAATACAACCTGATTAGGAAAGACAACGTTGTGACTTAATTTTAATTAAATTCCATTCAGTTTAAGGCAAACAGCGTGGGCAGATCGTGTCGAGGAGAATGAGGAAGATGTGTGGGAAGACTTAGGTATATAAACCTTGTTTGAAGATGAGCATCTGATTAGGGAAGCAGAGGCAGATGTATCTAGAAAAGCAAGTGAAGTCAGGTTATGGGGAACTTTGAAATATAGCTAGGGAAGTTAGGGCTTCATAGAAGAAAATAAAAAGCAGCAGAGTCATGGTAAGTTCTGGTACAATGGTGTTTCATGGTGAAAACACCCTTGGAAGGAGGAATAAGGAAGATGAATCAGTGGAAAAACTCATAATTAAAGATATTAAGGAGGAAGCAATAAAGCTTTTTAAAAAAGATTTTATTTATTTATATGAAAGAGAAAGAGAGAGAGCACGAGCAGGGGGAGGGGCAGAGGGAGAAGGAGACTCCCTGCTGAGCCGAGACCCGGGATGCAGGGCTCTATTCCAGGACCTGGAGATCATGACCTGAGCCAAAGGCAGATGCTTCACGGACTGAGCCACCCAGGCGCCCCAAGAATAAAGCTTTTGTAGAGAAAAACTGATGCGGTAGAAATACTATATTGGCTCAGCATTCTGAAAATACAGTTCCAATGCTAGTGTGCTCACTAACTCATACACCTTGGGCACACCACTTAAACATACGCCTCGTAAGAGACAATTTTAGGTAGAACGTAGAGGGACTTTAAAATTGTTAATAGTTACGCTTATTTTAGTTACTTTCTTTATGTCGAGTCACACTAGCTCTGCATTAGCACAATGATACAATCTTTAAGAAGGATTTCGACTTCTGCTTCTAGCCATGAGACAACAACAGGGTCTGGAGTTACCACCTACTATCAAAACTAGACCATTGGAGCCAAAGTAATAAGCAACAGTTTTCGGACATTGGAAATCAGGCCACACAGGAGGGTGATCACTGAGAGGAAGGAAACGTTTGAGGGGTTCTCTAGGAAAACCTGAATGCTCTGCCTACTGATCCTTTCTAGATCACAGCAAAGGTAGGGCAACCCAAAGAAAGCTCAGTGGGAGTGGGGTCAAACCCTGGATGCCAGGGAAGCCACTGGTTCTGGAGAAGAACATGAACCAGGCTCTTTTGGGTCTGCGTGTCCTGGGTTCTGCTCACACAGACCCCCATTGCTGGCACTTCTTGGAGAACCATTTCCCAGGTGAGGAGGTAAAAGTCATCAAGAAGATGGATACACCTGACTCACTGCCATAGGTTGGCAGCCCCCGGGGCCGGCTGGGTGAGGATCTCTTCAAAAGGCTCACCCTGAAGCACAATTAGGAGCCTCCAGAGCCCATCAGCCATTGAGGGGTCCCTTTGGCATCCCCCCGGTGCCGGGGTTCTGCCTGAGCCTCTCCCTGCAGCCACTAGGCAACTTGTTAGCCGCTCTGGAACCCTCTCCCAAGCCATGGAACAAGTGGAAACAGAACAAGCTTTTTGCAGGAAAAAAAAAAAAAAGAAAGAAAAAGAAAAAATAAAAAAAAAGAAAGAGAGAGAAAGAAAGAAAGAAATGAAAGAAAGGGAAAGGAAACACACAGAGGGAAAACACTGGGAAAAATGCACAGCTTCAGTGACTTGTGGGTCAATAGCAAGTGGTCTAACGTATAAATTAGAGACCCAGGGAATGTGAAGGTACAAAAGATGTTTGGAGGGAAAAAAAAGATATTTGGAGAAATAATAAAAATTTTTTTATAAATTCGATGAAAACTGTAAGTCCACAGATTCAAGAAGCTCATTGAATTCCAAGCAGAATATACAACCAAACCACCCCAAGGCTCAATGAAATCAAATTGCGAAAAACCCATTGGTGAAAAGAGAATCTTAGAGCAAAGAAAAAAAATCTACAGTAAATACAAAGAAGGAATATAAGAACTCACATGTTTATCAGAAACTACATGCCAGGAGGTAATGAACAACATCTAAAAGCATCACAAGAGGGGCTCCTGGGTGGGTCAGTCATTAAGCATCTGACTCATGGGTTCAGCTCAAGTCATGATCTCAGGGTCCTGGGCTAGAGCCCCGAGTCAGGCTCCTCGCTCAGCACAGAGTCTGCTTGAGATTCTCTCCCTCTCCGTCTGCCCCTCCCCACATCTGTGTGCATGCACTATCTCTCTCTCTCGTTCTCTAAAATAAATAAATATAATCTTAAAAAAAAAAAAGCCCTGTGAGAATAACAAAATAGGAAGCATATCAGTCCAAGATTCTCTTATCAGAAAAAATATTTTAGAAATGAAGGCAAAATACCTTCTTCACTGATCAGCCCAGCTGGAGATTCTGGGGTCCTCGTCTATGTATCTTCTCCATTCATCACTGACCATCAGGGAAATGCAAATCAGAGCCACTATGAGATATTCCCTTGCACCTGCTGGGACGGCTATAACAACAATACTACTATTTTTTTTAATGTTTTATTTATTTATTCATGAGAGTCAGAGAGAGAGAGAGGCAGAGGCAGAGGGAGAAGCAGGCTCCCTGCCTAACAGGGAGCCAGATGCGGGACTCGATCCCAGGACCCTGGGATCATGACCTGGGCCGAAGGCAGACGCTTAACCATCTGAGCCACCCAGGCGCCCCACAACAATACTACTATTAATAAAACAGAAGACAAAAGAGAAGTGTTGGTGAGGATGCAGAGGAATTGAACCATTGGTGGGAATATAAAATGGTGCAGCTGCTGTAAACAATGGTATGGAAGTTCCTCAAAAAATTAAAAGCAGATCTACTACATGATCCAGCAATCACACTTCTGGGCATACATTCAAAAGAATTAAAATTAGCATCTTGAAAAGATACGCGTACTTCCAAGCTCGTCCCGACGTTATTCGCAATGGCCAAGATATGGAAACCACCTAAATGTCCATTGATAGATGAATGGATAAAGAAGATCTACCTAATGCATACATATAATGGAATATAATTTGACCTTAAATGATGGTAAAACAAAGACTTTTTCAGACAAACACTGCGAATTGATAGCTAGCAGATCTGCAAAACAAGAAGTGTTTAAGGAAGTTCATCAAAACAAGAGAAATAAGGAAATAAAGGTAATAAGGAACAGGGTCTCTCAAGCTTTTAACCAAAGAGACAAAATAATAATAATAATAATAGTTTGTTAGTACTATCAATAGTAGTTTACTATTGTTGATAAGAAATTACCACAAACGTGGTGGTTTAAAAGAATATGTTTATTTTCTCACTCTTGCTTTGGGTCAGCAGTCTGGACATGGCCCAGCTACTTCCTCTGCTCAGGGACCCCCGGGGCTGCAGACGAGTTGTGGCCAGCCTGCTTTCTCAACTGGAGGCTTCACTGGGGAATAACAGGCTTCCAAGCTCATCCAGGATCTAGATGTAATTCATCTTGAAGCTGTATGACTGAGAATCCTGTTGTTTGCTGGTTGTCAGCTGGAGCCCACCTGTAGATCCTAGAGGTCACACACAGTTCCTTGCCGTGTAGGCTTCCGGCACATATTGGTTACTTCTTCAAGCCAACAAGGGGAATCCCTTCTCCAGTCTACTTACATAGAGTTCTCATATAATATAATGCAATCAGGAAGTGACGTCCCATCACCTTTGCCATAAACATGATCTAACCAAGGGTCCGGCATCTTTGCCAATTCTGTTGGCCAGAAGCAAGTCTCAGGGCCCTCCCATAATCAAGGAGAGAGGATTGCACCAACACGTGGACACTAGGAGGTGAAGGTCACTGGAGGGATCACCTTAGGGTTTGTCTGCCACGTTGTTATTTTGAAAATCCACTTGCTTAGAGAAAGGAAAACGCATTTAATTTTGCAAACATTCATCCATCAGTCTAATAAGGTCTTGGTAAATTTCCTGGGGTGCATCCTGTCCAAGGTAAAAATCCACATGATTGTAGTGTGGAATCAACTTGTAATAAATAAGCCTGGTAATTTTAGGGAGTAAATTCTCAACGTCCATGACATCAGCCACACGGTCATGTCCTCCGCTCCACACAGCTGTTGGCACCTCCATCTTTGTAACGTCGTATAAGGGAGGTGTAAGCTAATTACAGTTAAAGAGATAGAGAAAAAAAAAACAACAGTTTTTACAGAAAACCACCTTATGGAAGTAACATTCAGTATTAATTGTGAAGCAAGTTCTTCAAATGCTCAAAGTGTGCAGTTAGAATACACTTAGTGATATATAGACACTAAAATGTTAAAAGTAATTAAAAACACTTTCACGCAATAATTTAAATTGGGAACAAACAAACCAAAAAATCACAACTGTTTTATTCCTGATTTGCACTTGGGGGGAAAATAGGAAAGAATCCTAGGGGAAGGGGACCGTTATTTCTATGAGGACCATTTTTCTAGTAGCGCTTGCATGGAGAGTATGTCCTTTTCCAACAAAATAGATGTATTTATGGATTGGATAAATGTAAATACCTCTCCTCATATGCAGAAATCTCGACTAGGGGGATTATTGACACTTGAGCAGGCTCTTGGGGGAGCACTGAGACCAACGGATGAAAACATTTGAAATATGAGGTTAGGAAGGAGCCAGCCTGTCCCAGATAAGAGTGGCTGTGGTATTAATCTCTTGCCCTGTCTCTCTGGTTATACAGCCTTTCTCATGTGGATCCAACAAATCCCATGCCCTAGCTCCTCAGCGGGCCAGGATGACCAGGCCAGGCCAATCAGTCCATCATCCTTCTGGCCTCCATGACTGGATGAGAGATGAGTTCATGGCTAAAACCAGGCCAGAGTTCTCTGGAACTTTTGGCTAGAGCGATTGAGAAAAATTCTGGCTTTTTCTTTGGGTTTGCCGTTGAAAGAACGCTATGAGCTAAGTACATCCAGGCACCATTTTACTACTATATTTAAAACAGCCTAAGAAGGGAAAGAGCATACGCAAGCAGAAGTAGGAGAGAGAGGGAGGAGTTGAAGGAGCAGGAGAGCCCGGAGGACAGTATTTAAGTTCCCATTTATTATTAATTTCCCACCACACTTTTTAGCTCAGTAAAGCGGTATATATTTTTTAAACCTAAAATAAAGTTGTCTTCTGCTATCTGCAACTGGAAGATTATGGACTGCCACCAGAGTCTGTGGACTGAATTGTGTTTTCTCAAAATTCGTATATGGAGACCTTAACCACTACTTTGACTGTATTTGTAGATAAGGCTCTTAGGAGGGAATTAAGGTTAAATGAGGTCATAAGGGCTGGGTCCTAACCCAGTAGGACTGGCAGCCTTATAGGAAGGGGAAGAGAGAGATCTGTCTCCAAGCACAAACACAGAGGAAAGGTTATGTGAGCGTGTGGCCAGAAGGCGGCCCTTGGCAAGCCAGGAAGAGGGTCCTCACCAGAACCCCACCTGCTGGCACCCTGACCTTGGACTTCCAGCCTCCAGGACTATGAGAAATAAATTTCTATTGTTTAAGCCACTCAGTCTACAGTATTTTTTTTTTTTTTATGGCAGCGTGAGCAGATTAATACACCACCGTTGGGGCGCCTGAGTGGTACACTTGGTTAAGCGTCAAACTCTTGGTTTCAGCTCAGATCCTTATCCTGGGGTCAAAAGATTGAGGCCCTGCATCGGGCTCCATGCTCAGAGCACAGCCTGCTTGAGATTCTCTCCCTCTCTCTGCCCCTCCTGCTCGTGCTCTCTCTCTCTTTCTAAAAACAACTAAGTATATCTTTAAAAAAGAAAATACACCATCATTAATTTTGGCAGCAAGATTAGGAAGAAAAGGTTATATGGACAAAAGATCCTTAGGCACTTGTAACCTTGCTGGGGAGAGCTTTCCTAGACCGGAAATGCACCGGGGGAGGTCCCCAACTTGGCGAATGTGCACCAGGAGTTCTCCGGACAGGGTGGTATTCAGGCAGAGAGCACTGGGTTACTTATCACCGAGGTCACTGGCCCTGGATGCGTTGGTGTCTGGGTCTTTGCGTTACTAAATATCTTACGGGTATCCTGCGTACCCTATACTGCTGGGAGACCGTGGCCTTGGGCTTAGGAGCAAGTGGTCAATGAGAAGGTGTAGCTACAACAGGAAGTGAGAAAAGCAGAGAAGCCTGTGAGTGCAGATGGGCGCTCACCACCAGCAGTGCATGCGAGCAGAAGGGCTCAGGAGAGCCCGCGCAGTGCCCCAAAGGCAAAGAAGAGGCATGCTTTTCCTGACTCTGGTTTTCTTGGCGGGATCATACAGAGCACAAATACTCGGATGCAAAGATGGAGAGAGGTAAAGAATAGAGAGACAGCACAACCCAGAGGGAGCAGTACATATAAGCAAGGTTTATGGCAAGAGAATGGGCCTGCGGATCCCCTCTGCAATGAGGACCCTGTGAAGGATGAGAGGGGGCCCAGAAGATGGCAAAGCAAAAATGCATATGAAAATTCAGGATGCAAATAAGACGTGTTGGCTTTGGGCCAAGAAATTCTTTTTTACTTTCGTAATCATAAAGGATTGGTGATTACATTGATAATCACGCCTGTCTAATTTATGGGTCTTACTTATACTTGTGACGAAAGTGATTGCTTTTTACACATGCATGTTGTTCAGCCTCAGTTTGTTTGGGGTTTTCCATTATTCCCCCAAGGTCCCAAGCAAAAGATTTGTAAATGAACTTGAATCACCCCGTCTTCTGAAGATGTGCAAGCACAATGGTAAAGCTAAGCCCTGTGACTCAGCTCTCAACCAAATTGATACCTGAGTCCCACAGGTAAGCTCATCATCCAAGACACTTTCCTTTTAGCAACTATCTACTCTTGCTAGGACGAGGAATTGGTTAATTACAAGAGTAAATGGTACTTGGTCGTAGTGGGTGAGTCTGTGTGTGGTTAGCAGTTCAGGAGAAAACTATAGCAGTTTGGGAGAAAAATCAGATTTTTCACCCCAGCCAAAATTATGCATTTTCACTACTGCAGTTAGGGTAGCACTGAAAATTTGCTTTTTAAAAAAATTCAAATTTTTCCACATCCCTGACTTGAAAAACTCATGTATCTTTGATGACTACTTGTTTAATTTGAGCTCGGTCTATCAGCACGCAGCCAAAACCATGTACGGATTTCCTTATAAGTACTGGAAAAAAGAACAACAAATAGAACACAACATATCGTCATTTAATATAGAACTTTGGCTCCAAATTTTTCAGAGATTGTGTCAAGCAATATCTTGACACACCATTCTCCGGCAGATAACAGTATTTTTTCCTAAAAGTGATATTTCTGTCTGGTTTATCTTTAATGATCCATATATTGGTTGTTTTTTTTAAATGAGTATAGTACATGGCATCCCAAAGAACTGTCCCAAAGTGCTGAGAGTTTCTCTTTTTTGAGAAGGAATAAGAGCAGTGGAAGAAGAATGGATATAAAATCCAGGAACCCCTGGGCTCCTCTGGTTCATTACTAGCTAAATAATTTTGACAATTTACGTAACCTCTCTGAGCCTCTGCAAAGTGAAGACAATCATATTTGCCTCGCAAGGTCCTTATGAGGATCAAAAGTAATGATATGGAACATGCAAGAAAACAATAAGTAGCATCTGATCGATATAAAATATGTGGCATAGTGTTGGTGCTTAGGGAGTGGATACTACTTTATTAGTTCGCTTGCAGGTGCTATTGATGATTATTGTCATCTTTGTACCTGGTGAAAGTGTATCATGTTCTGATCAGGGTTTCCCCAGTCAAAAGCTTGGAACAGACCAGAATTAGCAGCCTATAATAAAATCAAAATAAAAATGCATTACAATGATATAAGAAAACAACATACATTGAAAGACAATAAACAGAAAATATACAAAGAGGATGACATCACATCCCACTCTTTCGGCACAAGAGCTAAAACCCAATAAAGAGGAATAAACCAGATAATATAAATGATAAATATTGATATACTAATTCACAGAACTGACAGTCTTTTAATCCCCTCCCCCATACTTCTCCTGTGAAGATCCTCAGACAGCAATGTCCTTAAATGTTCTAATGTTTATGAAATGTTCACAAGGATGCTGGATGGAATGATTCTTGAATATCTTAGCTCCAGGAATTTAAATATTTTTTTAAAAGGCACCAGCTGTACATCTCCTACATTGAAAAGTGACTGTTTTAACATAAAAACAGCTTTGTACGTTATTCTTGCCAGGTGGTCTAGGATATTATGACCATATTCCTTATTCTTAAATGTTTTTGTTGCTATTGAGAGGAATGTTCACTCAGAGTATCCTCAGTGCTTTCTATTTGAGGTACAGTGTTGCTGTCCCCCATTACGTGGTCAAGCAGCCTGTCCCCATGTCATCTGTCCTGTGGCCACAGGCTCAGTGTCGGGGACAACACGCATGCCCATATTTGCATTTTCATGCTTAGGCTTCAGCTATTAGAATGGAAACATTCATAAGCCTCTATGCCGAAGGGCTCCTTCTTCAGTGATTTGCCACCCATGTCAGATGGAGGCAGATAACGTTCACATTTGCCTCAAGCACTTCATGAAATGATTCTCAGGCTCTTCCAAAGGTTTTTTTCTTAACTTGAATCTCAGATTTTTTTTTCCACCCTCGTTGATTTAATCCGGATTTTTAGTTTAAAATTATTCCCCTTGTGATTTCTAAGGACAGAGGCAGTAGTCTGCTGCTGTTGGAATTTTGCAGGTTTTTGACAATGGGAAGCAGTATCGTGGACTTGTTAGGTCCTCGGGTTCTAGCAGCAAACAGAGCTGGTTTGAATCCAGGCTTAAAGGATTATTGCATCTGTGATTCATGCCAAGTTATTTATCTTCCCTAATTCTCGTCTGTGAAATGGGAATGACACCATTCTCCTCATAGGGTTGTGGAGATTAAATAGGGTAATGCAATAAGGTAAAATAAATAAATAGGGTAATGCCTATAAAGTGTGTAACACCTAAGAAGACTCAAAATTACCACTATCAACATCAGCATCATCACCCTTGCCTTACCTGTCTGCATAACTTATGACCTCATATTTTATCTCATCTCCTTCCCCCATCCTCCTGACTTATTTCTGTCTTGAAGAGGACCTTCTGTCATAGGGAAAGAGATCTTTTGAAGAGCAGTCAGCTGGGAGATGAGTAAGGGACTGGTGAGGACATTTGTAGAATGGGGGTCTCAAAGCCTCCATGGAAAGACTGTTATCAGAATTCAGTGAGACTGAATGAAATCACATGTATGAGTAGCAAGAACACATAGTAAGTGCTCAGTAAACGTGAGATTGAAACATGAAGGCCATGCTCATCACGGGCTCCATCTGTCTCCTCACTGGGAGGAGGCCCTATGTCCTGAACATCCTTCTTCCTGCAGGAACCTGAAGGCTTATCTCCTAGGGGGTGGAACTCTTCGAAGGAGTTCAGAAATCCTCAACTAGTATTTCAGGCTATCTACAGCAGTGCTTCTCAACCTTAAAGCACAGAACAAATTTACTAGGGTGGAGGTTAAAGTGCAGATTCCTAGGATCTCAGATACATTAAAACTCTGGGAAGACCTTTTTCTCCTCCTCCCTATCCCCCCTCCCCCCATACACAGACAGGTTCATACATATTTGGCTCAGAAAGCTATACCAATTGAATGTGCCTTACCTCTGAACTTGCTGAATATCGAGTGATACAGTAGAACACACAAAAAATTTAAACTGAGGGTAAAACCAGAAACCATTAATCTACTTTAGTCCTTCTCTAACATTTAATTTGCTCAGAATAAAGCATGATTTCCATACTGTGAAATGGCCCACATGCCAATAGGAGGCTGAGCAGATCTTTCTGGAATAGCCCATGTCATGGTATATAAAGTTCCGTTAGAACTGACAATCTTCCAAAAGAGGAAATACAAGCTTTCCCTAGAAAAGGCAGTTTGGAGGGATCCAAAAATCAGAGCTCAGTCAGAATCTGTGGGAAGCAGGCCCATACAGCAGACGCTACTGAGGACACGATGAACAGAAGAGAGAACAGGAAGTCAAAGCGAGCTGATGCTGATTCCAGAAGCATCAATCTGAGGGCAGCACGTGCCAGCACACCCTGTGGTGGGCTCTGTGAAAGCGCTCTTCAGGGGTCTCAGGGACCTGCGTGTGCCTCATTTCAGAAATAGGAAGTTCCTACCTGGGCCCAGTGCAGCATATTCTGAACAGACGTGCCCGCGGAGCTCTGGGCCAAATAAACATCCAAGCGACTCTGCAAAAGAAAGAGATTATTTCTCATCTGGAGGCTAATCACGTGACCACCCCACAGATAACTGTGAGTATTCTCTCTCTCTCTCAGGAATAAACCTGTACCATACCCTCTTGAAGAACTTTCCCCTCCCTTGGCTCTAGTCTGTCCTGTGCAGCCTTCCTAAAGTCCAGAGGGCATCCTGCTGGTCAAAGGTGCTAACACACCTTTTCTCTCCAGCCTCATGTCAGACAGGTCCAGGAACCCTTTTAACCCAAGGGATAAAAGCCCCAGTGCCCTTCCTCACCCTGCGTTAAGTCCCAAAGGACGTCCTGAGAGAGTTGTTTATCATGAGACATTGAGAAAAGATCTGAATGTTTGCTTTCTGATTTTAACAACATAGTAAATATTCTACAGGGCTCTCTGAAAGTTTGGCGAACGTAATCCTTCCAGTACTGTAACTTCCATTAACATCTAGATTTTTTCTGGATTAAAAAAAAAACTTGATTTTTTTATACTTTCCATTGCTTTTTTTTTAGTATACATAGTTATACTTTTCCACCAAAGTGAGCATAGAAACACACGGAGCTTTAAAAAAAAAAAAAAACATAACCCCTCGTGACCTACCCAAACCTACTGAATCGATATCAAAATCTCTAGGGGTGAGTTCTGGACATGTGTATTTCTTCAAAGTTCCACAAACTCTACTTGTGCATCCCTGCCGATCCTCCACTAAAATAAACATCCTGTAGAGACTACAGTATTCCACAGGATGGTCCCCAACAGTGAAAAAAAAGGGCAATCTGACTGTAAAAATGTATAATGAAGGCCCTCAGTGAATGTTCAAGGGGGCCATTTTGTGAAGTCTTTCTTTAGCAAACTCTTGGTCCATGTCGAGAGGGTGCTTTTGAGATGATCTTTATTGTGTGTGCTTAAAGGTCTTCTTACTTAGCTCTGCCTCCATGATATGCTTCCATCAAAGTGATGGGCAAGCACAGTTCCCTTCTGTAAACTGAGAACAATGTAGAGAAGGAATGTGAAAAGCCAGTGACTAGGGCATGCTTTCCATAAACGGCCTTTTAGAAATCTTGCTTGAAAGCAAGAAAAGTGTTAATCAGTACCTTCCACTAACAGAGGGAGACTAGACTCTGGGCAGAAGTCTGTGAGATAGTCGAAGACCATTTTCAGCTTAGTCCTGCCTGTGGTTTCGAAGATACCCCCTCTCTGGCAGGGGAAGTAAACAGTAGCTTCCCCTCCTCCCTCTCCGACTCTTTAGGTCAGCTAGTGGTGACCGAGGAAGAAAAGGATTTCAGTTGGAGAGGACTCACCAGGAATCCCAGCTTATCCCTCTCGGTGTCCCTTGAACAGTGAATCAATACCTATCATTGGAAAGCCATCCCTTAGTCCCTTTGGATTAAAGAAGTAAGTGGTTCACAAAATGACGATTTCCAAATCACCTATGAAAGTGGAAAACTGGTTTAAAAAATACAGATGCCTGAGCTTACTCCCTGAGATTCTACTTTAGTAGGTCTGAAATAAGGTTTAGGCACAGCAAGATAAATTTCAAAATCATTGTCTTAGTGTAAGTGAAGGATTTTTCAATGGCGGCACTTTGGCCAACAGCAAGAGTTGGTGAGAATGTTCAATGGCCAAGCCTTCTTCGCAGATCCTCCTACTAAAGCAGGTGGACTCCCCAGCTTTGGCTGGAAACCACCAACATGTAACTTCAATTCAGGAGACCAAAAAATAAATAAATAAATAAAAAGCCCTTGAGATGTGGTTTCCACGTGATTCAGTACAAACTCTCCTCACCTCTGTGCAACAAAACAATTGTTTTCTTGGCTCCGACTACTTACACATACCATGTTTAAGTTTTGGGGATCAAATCCACTCAAAGTAAATAAGAAGTTGCTGCAAATATGACGAAATAGCTTCTGGTTGCACACCTTGGTGGCAATGAATTGGTCAAAAAATGTATGAGGGTAGAACATCTTGTCACCAAATAAAGCCTGCAAGATCAATGTAAGATACCATCAAATTTCATGGATATGGATGCCAAAAGTGGAAAGTGAGTGATAACTCAGACAAGGGCTGGACAGCAGTGGTATCTGCTCTATGCTAGTCTTCAGTGAAACAGAGAGGCCTGTTAAATTTTGTTTTTGGTTCTCCCAACCCACCTTGTTGGTCTTCCCAACTCTCCTCTTGATGCCTTTTCCCAAGATCCTCTACTTGCCGTGTTTTTGGAACATGCCCTGAAAAACTAGCCCCTGTAGGAAATTGGTAAGTCTTTGGAGTCAGGGATACTTTGGCTCAATTCTGGATTCTGTCTCTTATACCTTAAGAAAGTATTTCATTTCTATTATCTGGAAATGGATAATGAAATGGAAAATTAATATGCAGTATGTAAGACTGTGTAAAGATAATAGGTCATGTTTAAAAGGAGCCTACTACTGTTTCTAGAATCTAGTTAACATTCCCCAAACAATAACTACTATTATAATTAGTGAATGATCATTCCAGAATATTCTAGCAAACTCTTCCAGAAGCAAAAGCTTAACCCCCGCAAAATCAATCTCTACTAGTGGAATTTCAGGCAATGTTGCCAGTGAGTTGAATTTACTTTCTGAACTTTAGGAATCCCTTCAAATTAGGACACAAATTCATATCTCATTCCTGTGCATAGAAGATGAATTTTGTCTGTTTCACAATAACTAGCTTTATAATCTTAAATTAGATACAAAGATGAAAGTGTTTTAAAAAAGATTTTAGGTATTTATTTGAGAGAAAGAGAGAGAGAAAGCATGAGCGGCAGGAGGGGCAGAGGGAGAAGGAGAGAGACAAGCAGACTCCCTGTTGAGCGCAGAGCCTGGTAGCTCCATCCCAGGACCCTGAGATCATGACCTGAGCTGAAGTCAGACACTTAACGAACTGAGCCACCCAGGAGCCCCTGTAAAGATATTTTTTAATTCTTAAACCTTTTGGAAATTCTATTTACAGTAATAAAAACTGGCTTCTCTTTCTCCTGGAAGCCTTTTTTAACTACCAATTACAACCAAAGAACAATAACTACTAGCATTTATTTTTATTGCACTAGTGCATGACGAGATCTCACAGTATCTTTGGTAAACTCGAACCAGTAAATTCCTACTGGGTATAGTTGGTTGAATTCTGAGTTTGAAAAGTGGTTACTTTATATGGTCAAAGGTCATCTTCATTTAATGGAATTTGGTATCCCATGGAATATTAAGGTTATCTATGATATACTGTGACTTCATATACCCCTTCCTGCCAAAGAGAGGGAAGGAGAAAGAAAGAGAGACTACAATGTGTTAAAATAGTTCAAATCAACCTCTTTAGGTCTAGAAAGCAGTAATTAATCATGGCAGACATTATCTAATTCATTCTGGCCTCTCATTCATTTTGTCACAATCACTGGGACACTTGAAAGATTTAAAAAAAAATTTTTTTAATTAAAAAACATTTTTTTAATTTTTAAAACTTAATTTTTTTTTTCTTTTTTGAGAGGGAGAGAGAGCATGTGTATGAGTGGTAGCGGGGAAAGGGAGAGGGAGAAAGAGAGAGAGAGAGAGAATCTTTAGCAGACTCCATGCCCAGTGTGGAGCCACATGTGGGGCTTCATCTCACAACCCTGAGATCATGACCTGAGCTAAAATCAAGGGTCGGACACTTAATCGACTGAGCCACCCAGAAGCCCTAAAAATTTTATTTTTAAGTAACCTCTACACCCAACATGGGGCTCAAACTCACAACTCGGAGATCAAGAGTCTCATGCTCTTCTGACTGAGCTAGCCAGGCGCCCCTGAACTTACCTTTTAATAGAATGTTTGCAGGGAGCCTGGGTGGCTCAGTCGTTAAGCGTCTGCCTTCGGCTCAGGTCATGATCCCAGGGTCCTCGGATCAAGTCCCGTACCGGGCTCCTTGCTCAGCGGGAAGTCTGCTTCTCCCTCTCCCACTCCCCCTGCTTGTGTTCCCACTCTCTCTATCTCTCTCTGTCAAATAAATAAATAAAATCTTTAAATAAAATAAAATTACAGAATGTTTGCATCTCTTCTATGTTCTCAAGTGTAATAATCTAAATAGATTAGCACATGAATAAGTAATCAGAGTAGAAAGCAGGGTCTGGTTTTAATCAGCAAACATTTTTGTTTCTCATTACCAATATCTTCATCATCCACACTTGGCAGAAAATCCATGTGAAAAGGAAGTGCCAGTTCATAGATGTGACCAGCCATCAAAATATGATGTGAAGAAAGAGGTTATATCTGCCATAAAGGGCCCTTGTTCTTTATTCTGACTGCTGGTGTTTCCAAATACAGGATGAAGTAGCATTGCGGTCTCTGACTTCACATTACCTCTACCCCCACACATGAGCAATGCAACAAAACTACCATTATATTTACCCAGGCACAGATAATTGCTCCTTCACCCTAACCTAAAAAGAGAGGATAGTAGTGCAGGCCAGCCAGCCATAGAACACCCATTCCTACAGTGTGGTCAACATGACTCATAGACTGTAATTCCAAGTTGGTTCTGGAGGGGGTGTGCTTGTCACATAACAGTATAGCAGTCTTGCATTAGCTCTAATTTAAGAAGCTATCCCTTCTTCTGGGTACCTGGCCCCGTGCCAGGTCTCATGGTTTGCCAAGCAGAACATGGGCTAGATGCAGCTCTCAATGGACTGCTGAGCTGGGCTCTGTGTACACAGCTGCATAAGGATCCAGAGCTGACTTTTTCAGTTTGGCATTGGAAAGGAGGGTAAATAATTACATAGAAGAAAGAACATTGACCATAGATGGCCTGCTCAGATCTGGGTTCAAATTCTGGTTCCACCACCCATTCGCTGGGTCATTCGGGACAGGGTGCTTAGACTCTTTGAGCCTCAGGTTCTTCTTTTAAGATATGAAGACAGGGCGCCAGGTTGCTCAGGCGGTTAAGTGTCCAACTCTTGATTTTGGCTTAGGTCATGATCCCTGGGTCGTGAAATCAAGGCCCACCTCTGGCTCTGCGCTGAGCATGGACCCTGCTTGGGATTCTCTCTCTCCTTCTGCTCCTCCCCATACCCCAAGAGAAAGAAAGAAAGAAAGAAAGAAAGAAAGAAAGAAAGAAAGAAAGAAAGAAAGAAAGAAAGAAAGAAGAAAGAAAGAAAGAAAGAAAGAAATGAAGACAATACTAACAACCCTTACTATTATAGAAAACACATAAAGAGCAAAGGGTCAAAGCAAGCTGTAGGTCAGAAAAAAGATAGAAGGGTAAGAACACATAAATGCCCAGGGGCAAAACAAGGGATGGGAGAGGTGGAGAGGATAAGCAATTGGTAAACAGGAGATCTGAAGCACCAAGTGCTGAGGTTGAATCTAAAATAAACCCAATTAGGGGCGCCTGGGTGGCTCAGATGGTTAAGCGTCTGCCTTCGGCTCAGGTCATGATCCCAGAGTCCTGGGATCGAGTCCCGCATCGGGCTCTCTGCTCCTTGGGAGCCTGCTTCTCCCTCTGCCTCTTTCTCTGTCTCTCATGAATAGATAAATAAAATCTTTAAAAAAAAATAAAATAAACCCAATTAATAATACTAGACAATACTTACTGAACACCTGCTATAGGCCAGGTATAATGCTTAAACATATATCATCTCAATGAATCTCCAAAACAACTTGACAGATCTTACCCATTTTTTTACTCATTCATTCATTTTCAACTTTATTGAGGAATAATTGATACCAGAAGACATTAAATGACATTTAATGACATTATAAATGACATTAAATAATGACATTAAAAGACATTATAAGTGGAAGTTTGTATACTTTGACCTACATCTCTCCATTTCCTCCTCCTCCAGCCCCTACTAACCACCATTCTATTCCCCTTTTCTATGAAATTGGTTTTTTAATATTAGATGCTCCCTATAAGTGACTCAGTACAGTATCTGTCTTTCCTGTCTGGCTTATTTCATTTAGCATTATGCCCCCTAGTTTCATCTAGGTTGCAAATGACTGCATTTCCTTATTTTCTTTTGACTTTTTTATGTTCTTTAAAATTTTCCCATTTTAATTTGTCTATACTGTTTTTTTACATTTCCACCAATAGTGTATAAGGGTTCACTTTTCTCAACATCCTCGCCAACATTCATTTCTTGTCTTTTTGATAATAGCCATCTAATGAGTGTGAGGCAATACCCCACTGTGGTTTTGGTTTGCATTTCCCTGATGATGAGTGATGTTGAGCATCTTTCCATGTATCTATTGGCCATTTTCATGTCTTCTTTGGAAAAATGTGCGTTCTTATCCTTTGCCCATTTTTAATTGGATTACTTGCTTTTTGGCTATTGAATTATATGAGCGTTTTGTATATTTTGTTTATTAACCCCTTATCAGATACTTGGTTGGCAAATATTTTCTCCCATTCTGTAGGCTGCATTTTCAATATATTGATTGCTACCTTTGCTGTGCTGAAGCTTTTTAGTTAGTCCCATTTGCTGATTTTTGCTTTTATTGACTGTATTTTTGGTGTTTTATCCAGAAAAATCAGTGGCAAGACCAATGTCAAGGAGCCTTTTCCCTATGTTTTCTTCTAGCAGTTTTATGGTTTCAGATCTTCTGTGTAAGTCTTTAATCCACTTTGAGTTAATTTTTGTGAGTGGTGTAACATAGGGGTTTAGTTTAATTCTTTTTTTTTTTAAGATTTTGTTTATTTATTTGACAGAGAGAGAGAAAGCACAAACAGGCAGAGCGACAGGCAGAGGGAGAAGCAGGCTCCCCACTGAGCAGGGATCCCGATGTGGGGTTCGATCCCAGGACCCTGGGATCATGACCTGAGTCGAAGGCAGACACCCAACTGACTGAGCCAACAGGTGTTCCTAATTCTTCTGCATGTGGCTGTCCAGTTATCCTAACACCATGTATTGAAGAGATTGTCTTTTCGCCATTATGTGTTTATAGCACCCTTGTCAAAGATTAGTTGACCACAGTGTGGGCTTATTTCTTGCTCCCTATTTTATCCCACTGGTCTATGCACCTGTTTTTATGCTAGTACGATACTGTTTTGATTACTATAGCTTTGTAATAGACTTTGAAATTGGGAAGTGTGATGCCTCCACTTTTGCCCTGCTTTCACAAGATTGGTTGGGCTATTTGGGGTCTTTCTGTTTCTGCACAAATTTTAGGATAGTTTTTTCTATTTCTGTGAAAATTGCCATTGGAATTTTGATAGGGATAGCACCGAATCTGCAGTTCACTCTGGGTTGTACGGACACATTAGTGATATTAGTCTTTCCAATCTGTGGACACGGTATCTTTTTATTTATTTGTGTCTTTCTGGGTTGTATAGGTATGGAATTGAATCACCATGGGCTAATGTACTTATTTCTCACAAGCCAGAATCCCTGGCTTCTGTAAAAATGGTCTTCCTTTCATCTGCTTTAATCGAAATCACTGAATGCAATGATCACTTTTAGTCTGCAATAGGAGAAGCCCATATCAAACCATAAGAGGAAAACACACTAAAGTTCATGGACCAATTCACTTCAACTGAGTAACTGATCAGATTAGTTAGCTGTTAGCACACAGAGAGAATCTGGAGTTTAGGATATTGTCCAGATTTTGAGAAGTTGACAGACTGAGAGTCTAAGAAGTGTGGACCATTGAGTAAGGTTGGACTTTTAGTGGGGTGCCTGGGTGGTGCAGTTGGTTAAGGATCCGACTCTTGCTTTCTGCTCAGGTGGTCTCAGGGTTGTGAGATTGAGCCCCCACATCAGGTTCCGAGTTCAGTGGGGAGTCTGCTTCAGATTCTCTCTCCCTCTGCCCCTCCTGCTCATGTTCACTCTCTTTCTCTCTCTCTAAAATAAATAAATCTTAAAAAAAAAAAGGTTGGACTTTTAGTGATGGGGAAAGTATGTTCTAAGCAAATCATGACAGCAATGAGTAGGTGACATTAATTGAAGGCTTATAATGTGCAAGACCTGGTTCTAAGGGATTCACAAGTCTGAACTCAATCCTCACAGCAGTCCTAGGAGTAGGAACTATTAACATTCCCTCTTTATGGGTGAAGAAAATGATTCACAAAAGATTTAAGGTCTTGATAAATTTACCCAGCTAGCTAGGATCCAACCCCATGCCATCTGGCGCCATGCTGTGATCTTAACTCCTCCTCCATATTGCTCCTGAAAAAGCAAGGGTCACTAGAGAGAAATTTAACCTACTAGATTAAACAAATCAATTAATCACCTCAACATTTGCTTTATCTGTGAGTGAGGAATGACATGGGATAGAAGCCCCTGATAGACATTTAGACAATAGGGTAGAATGGTATTGGAGTGAGCTCCCTGAACCCTGTTGGTAAAATTACATTATCAGTAGATCTACATGGACATCTTACATCTGTTATAGTCTCAGAAGCTTGTAAAATGCCATTTTGTCTAAGGTTCTCTTCTCTTGAAATCAGTGAAAATAGAGCTAGTTTTAGTTACTACAGATTTAAACTTGGAGGAGTCACATACCTTGACTACTTCTCTGGAAAGAATTGTGAATTTTTTCATAGGACTTTGGGTGTATTTCACCGTGATGACTGGAGCCAATGCAAAAAATATCTTAATCCTTTTAGCCAGCTCTGGATTTTTAGAGAATGCTATGAAGGCTGAAAGGGAAGAACACTAGTTTATAGATTTAAAACAATTCTTCATTCATAATAAATGGTAGCAAAAGTAGGCATATTAAAAACAACAACAGCAACTACAAAAACAGCTCAGAATAAGTACCACTGGTAGGGAAGAATTTCCTAAACTTCTCAAGGAAGCAATTGGCTAATTCAAAATGCAGTGACTTTTTTTTTCCCTGGAGAATTTATGTCTCTTCATAGTGTTGCAGAAAGGGTTCAAACATCCATTGTGGGGCATGTCCAGGTAAACTCCAAGGGCCATTCTACCTTGACCATACTCTCTAGTATCATACAACACTGGGCTATAATTTTGGCTTCTCATTCACTAGCTGTGGGAAGTCTTGGTTTTCTCAAGCTGTCAATGTGGAAAATAGAATCCTCACAGGATGATTCTTTTGAAGGTTAAATTACATATATATATATAAAACTGAAGGTATTCTTTGGCATTCTCACTATTGGAAAGGATTTCCAAATTCAGCCATTTGTAAAACATGGATGATAATGGTCTCAAATGTTTGTAGATTACAATGAGAGATGGTATGTAAGATGCATAGCATCTGAAGACCTACTTTACACCAGAAACCTGATTAGAATTCAGATGTAGAAAAGAGCCTGGTGGAGATGCTGTTGATATTGTTGAGCTGTCTAGCTACATGGGGAGCAGGGAAGGGGGTGAAGTGCCTCAGGGCATTGTCAACAAGGCACCATCTACTCTAGCCTATCCCAGTGCTTCCAGGAACTAAAAGAAACAGTAATTGTGGCATATGATGTCCACAGCTTGTAATTCTCTGCTTTCTTTTTGGTGTCCTCATTCGACTGAAAGCTCTTTAAGGGAAAGACCCATATCATTCTTATCTCGGCCTTCCCAGGGTCTAAACCAGTGTCTGGTAACTGTGTGTGGTGTACACACAGGAGTAAGTCCCTATCCCTCAGGCTTATCTATCAATCTCCAAATTCAGTCCTGGAGCGGCACAAATCCCTGGTGTCCTCCTCATTTTGTTTACTCTTCAGAAACCAGTCAGAGGAAATGGTTTCCCAGGTCAAGTCCTCAAGCTAGAGACTGCACAGGGGGAAGAAGTTCTGACCCCTTTCATGAATATGGAAGGTTCTCTGACACTCTCAGATCCCACCTGCCCCAAACACACCAATGGTGGTGCCTTGGGAGTGGCCCACATAGTAGAGTCGCTCTTGTCCAGTTTTCTTTACGATAAAATTGATTGTGGCCGGAAGGTCATAGTTAGCCATCTCATCCATGCTGCCAAAGAGAAAGAACAAAAAAATTGGGGGGAAAAAACCCAACTCAATGTCAGTCCTACAATGTTTAGACACATTTATTGCAGACATAGATACATAGCTTTTGTCAATTTAAGACTAGAGTCAATGTAGAACATTAGGCATCTCTGCAAGTTTTGAAGAGGTCCCCTTGATGGCAAGAGTGACATGGTTAAGAGACCAGAATCAGAAAAATCTGCTTTGCAAAGTCCCAGAGAGGATTTTCCTGTAAGGCTAGTCATAGTTCACTTAATTCTACAGCGGATTTACCAAACTCCCTTGAAAAGAACAGTACCTGGAATGTTTATTTTAAAAGCAGACTAAAGCAAACAGATTTGTAGGGGTCAGCCCAGACAGACTGAATCAGAACTTCTGGGGAAGAGGCTGGGTGATCTGCGTATTTATCAGTCACCTCAGGTGCTTCTTTTCCTATGTGTAGTTGGGAAAACACTCACCTAGGGAATCATCACGTTACCTGTAATCATGCCATGACACGGGGGCATTGGGGTGTGGAATGAGGAAATACCAAATGGCTTCGAGGAATAAGGCGGCAATGAAGAAAGGAACAAACAGCTTTAGTGACCTGCAGGGCATGCTTCTTAGAGTCTGTACCAGGGTGGGGGGGGTCCCCCTGGGACGAAGACGGCATGGCTTCTAGAGCAGACCATGCCCCAGGGTGCTGCTGCTGGTGACTCTGCTCTTGGCTCATTCTGTGCTCAGGCTTTCTCTTTATTTCCCCAGGACCTGACTCTGGGACCAGGTCTCAGCCCCGCCAGCCGATGGATGGTTCATTCACTCCTCAGTGAATAAACATTGGAGGGGCCAGCTGTGCAAACTCACCCGGGGCTCACTCTTGGCTTATCATGAATGTCTGGTTCTCAAAATTTTCACCCAGAGCCTTGTTTCCGGTCCCATTTCTCGATCAGTTTCGGTTTTCCTCTTTAGCAAGCACCCCAGGTAAACTTCCTTTGGGGTCCACAGTGGCAAAGTGATAGTCCTGGAATTAACCTTTCTAAAGATGATCTTTGCATTTTGATTTTTTTTTTTTTTTTTTGCATATACACTTTGCGCGCGCGCACACACACACACACCAGTGAGCGGGGTTTTTTAAACAAACAGCAATGCAATGAATAAGGGCATTTCTTCAGGGCCTGTGAAGAAAGCCCGGGTAGAGGAAGAAGTGTTTGTTTCCTTCTCGTGGATTCCACTGGGTTGTGTGTGCACAGAAAGAGGGAAATCCAAGGGTATCCATGTCCATGAACAAGGTACATACTTTATTTATTAGTATGTAGCTCCTTACCTGAAGGCCCAGTATTCTCGAGATTTAGGTGAGAATTTCAAGTGTTTTCTGGACCAGGTGTTGCCCCGGCTGTTGCCCATCCAAACGTCATAACCGATATCTGCCAGAAGGAAAGCCAAGCTGTTGTTCGGGAGGTTGCAGATCCAGTTAGTGGCGGATGCAATTAAGCCATGTTGCAAATACACAACAGGCCTCGGAGCTGAAAACACATGGGCAACAAGAATCTCATGTCTGAACGCCCTCAGTGTCTGGAGAAAAATTCTCTTTCCTGACTTCCTCTAGTAGAACAGAGGGGAAGGGATGACATTTGGTGCCAGGCAAATCTGGGTTCGAGTCCTTTATGAACTGCTTACTTGGGCAAGTTATTTGTCTTCTCCTGTCTTGTTTTTGTCTCTGTAAAATTTGGATTATATATAATGTTTTACATTGTTCTGTAGGTACTGGAGTCAGGTTGTTCTTGCTCAAAGTCTATTCTGCTACACATTAACCCCTTGTGCCTCAATTAACTTAACTGTATAATGGGCAGTAATTAACAAATGCTATCTCATAGTGTAGTCATAAGAATTAAATTAGAATTAAAATACATAGGGGCGCCTGGGTGGCTCAGTCGGTTAAGCGGCTGCCTTTGGCTCAGGTCATGATCTCAAGGTCCTGGGATCAAGCCCTGTGTTGGGCTCCGCGATCAGCGGGGAGTCTGCTTCAGGATTCTCTCTCTTCCTCTGCCCCCCATCTTACTCTCTCTTGCTCTCTCTCTAAAATAAATAAATAAATCTTTAAAAAATACATACAAGACAGTCCGGCATAATGAATCATTTCTCTATTATTATTATTCATATCAATAACATTTGATGTCTCATGAAGCATCTGATTACCAAACTAAATTTTTCTCGAAATAGTAATAGAAACATTAAAAATGCCATTTGTGAATACTGACTGAGTGCCAGGCACTAGGCTCGATTTTACACACGCCACATAGTTTCATTCACATTGTCAGAAAGCAAAACAGCAAAATGCAAGATGTTCAGTGAAATGTTATGCAACGTAAAATTGTTAATCTGATAGAAAATTCCTGTTCACGATGTGGAATTGGGACAACTTGACGAAGAAGAAGGCAGGGAAGTGGCATTGAGACACAGACAAGAGAGAAAAGCAACAACAATGTTCCTGTCTTTTACAAAAGGTTTGTTACTGTGCTGGTACCCGGGACCCCCTCAGCTCCCTCTGGGGCTAGACCAGCTCCCAGAGATCGGGTGGTTACACTGGGGTCCCAGAGAGCCTTTGGTCACCCAGACGCAAGAAACTAAAGTCTATGTTCATTCAGTCTACCTTTGGAGGAAACGGAAAGAAGAGGTGTTACTAATTCTGCTAAATTATTGCCTAAGAGCATAGGCCCCTCGGATCTGAGCCCCCAGCAGCTTCTCATTGTAGAGTCAGCTGTCCAGCTCACACATTTTGGCAGCTAGCTGGCAGAACTGAAATAAAAGTTTGGGCAGACAAAGTTCTCATGACTATTGTAATGGGGTTATCTAGAATCTAGATTTTTCTCTTTATATGATTAACCATTCTGAGACTGGCAAGTTTCGTTATACAAGACTCCAAAGTATCAAAGGAGCTAAGATTTGAGAGAAGAAAGCAAACAGTTCTTGCCAGGTGGATTCCCCCTTACTCTACAGAGATCAATCTGTATTGTAGGGAACTAGGAATGGCTCATTAATTCAGTTTAAGTATAGCAATAATTGGGTCCAATTTAGGGCGCCTGGGTGGCTCAGTTGGTTAAGCATCTGCCTTCAGCTCGGGTCATGATCTCAGGGTCCTGGGATCGAGCCCCATGTTGGGCTCCCTGCTCAGCGGGGAGTCTGCTTCTCCCTCTACCCTTCCTCCCTGCTAGTGATCGCTCTCTCTCTCTCTGCCTTTCAAATAAACAAATAAAATAAAATCTTTTTTAAAATCGGGTCAGATTTACTTAAAACATGAAGTCCCAATGACTTAAGAAGAGAACTAATTACAAATGAAGTAAGTTGGAAAGCTGTCGGAATAGCTGAAGCAAAAGGTGATGATCATGTCCAAACCTAGACTTGAGGAATATTGAAGCAGAGAGAAGTTTTCAGATGAGAGAGAAATTTGGAGGCAAAATTGATAGATCTTGGTGACTGGCTGCATATAGGAAGTGATGGACAAGAAAGCGTCAAGATGACTTCTAGGGGTCTGGTTGTTAAGCCTGAAGAGAGTATCTCCAGAACAAGACTAAGTTTTATTTCATGTTATTTTTGGAAGGACAAAGTCATGGAGGAAGAAAAGACTAAATAAGGAGTGTACAGTTGACTTTTGAACAACATGGGTCCACTTATCTGTGGAGTTCTTTGATAAATACAGTACAGTCATATAAATGTACTTTCTATTCCTTATGATTTTCTTAACATTTTCTTTTCTCTACCCTGCTTCCCTGTAAGAATACAGTATATGATGCATATAACATAATACAAAATATGTGTCAATTGGCTGTTTATGTTAATGACAAGGCTTCCAGTCAACAGTAGGCTATTAGTAGTTATGTTTTAGGGGAGTCAAAAGTTATATGTGAGTTTTCAGCTGCTTGTGGTGGGGGGTAGTGGTGTCCCTAACTCCCATGTTGTTTGAGCCAACTGTGTATCTAAATGCTTGAAAAACCCCAGAGGATTCTACAAGCGAAATGGAGCCGGACTGGTGGAGGTGATGAGTTTCCTATTTCAGACCAAAAGCTGCCCAGCTCCTCTAGGACTCCTGGAGGCAGTCTTCCTTCCATAACAACCTAAATCCTACTTGCTCTGGGACATCCTCTTCCAGAAGGAATCCGGTAAATTCCGAGGACATAACCATCTTTGGTCACGACGTCATACTCTTCACAAGGGTAACCCCAGTAGGAAATAATCTGGCTCTGGAAGGAGGAGAGGAAAACAGACATGTCCATGATGTCAGCTCTCGATTTTTATACTTACATTGCAACATAGTCCTTTGAGTTACACAAGCTACTGTTGAACTAAGTACTGGGACAGGATGCAGCAGGAAACTCAGGATCCCTTGAGGAGGGTTTTAGAAGAAGGTTGCATGCAGAGGCATTGGAAGGCGAGGGAGGTTGACCTTATATCCCCGTCTGCCTGGCCTGGATTGAGAGTTACAATGAGAATTACTAATGCACCCGGGTTCACTCACAAAATGTTTGAAAACAAATGTGTATGGTTAGCTAATGAGGGAAGCCATGGGGGATTGTGTAGGCCCCCGTGGCTAGTAACAAGTGAGCTATTGCCAGCCAACCCTGAAGGGAGGTGGGAGAGAGTGGTCCCCAGGCCCACAATGACGTAGGAAGAAAGGACCACATGGAGAGGAAGCAGACAGCCCATCTAAGGTGACCACGTGGAGGGAACCAGGACAACAAATCATCTGACCTTACCCTTGTCCCTCCTTCTGATCTCCTGCTCAAGATTTCAATGGGCTGAACTGAACTGAAAGCCAAAGTCAAGGGACCTTGTTGACCTAGTTCTTACAGGTCAGTTTCTTGGGCAGAGGGTAAAGAAGATGTAAAGAAGAGAGTCTGAACCCAAATGAAAAATACCTCCTGCACAGATATACAGGCAAGAGAGCAAGTACTGTTTACTGGTCATCTGCATAGAGCATGGTGTATATGTTCTGCTTTATTAATCCTTACAACAAGCCTTTGAGATGGGATCATACCCATTCATGGCTGAGAAAACCGAGTTCCAGAGAGATGAATAATCTATCTGAGATTGTACACTAGGAAGAGAGAAAGATAAATTAAGGCCTAAGGAAGTTTAGCTCCAAAGTGCATGCCTTTACCACAGGATTATGCATGTGCCCATGCAAGGTGCTCGAGAGGTGTGCATATATGATGGGGTTATTTAAAGCGGTGGTTATGAGCCTAGATTCTAGAGACAAATTGTATGGCATCGAAATCTAGCTCTTTCTCTTCTTAGCTGTACAACTTGGGGCAAGTTATTTAACCGTTTTGTCCCTCAACTGTAAAATAAAAATTATATTAGTATCTCTTCACAGATTTGTTCTGAGGACTATACATAAAATAACTAGATCAATGCTTGGCACAAAATAAGTGCTCTGTAAATGTTTATTATTCTTAGCCTCTTTATAAAATAATTAAGAACCAAAAAGCATCCAGACCAGAAAGGAAGAGAATGTGTGTGAATATGAGAGAAAGAGGGAAATTTTGATATGGAGACATAGAGTCACGGACTGTGAGTTCAGCAGTGTAGGAGGTTAGGGGTACCTGCTGCTTACTGTGGAGACAGGAACAATAGGAGACACGCATTAGAAACTGTGACAGTTACATTCTTCTTAAAGTTCTAGCACAGCCTTGACCTGGGTGAGGACATCAGTGGTGTACCATTTATGCAAGAGTATGGAGTATCCCATTGGAATGAAGCCTATGGTGGAAATTGGTCATTTGCCTCTCTTTTTCTTTCTTTCTTTCTTTCTTTCTTTCTTTCTTTCTTTCTTTCTTTCTTTCTTTCTTTCTTTCTTTCTTTCTTTCCTTCCTTCCTTTCTTTCTTTCTTTCTTTCTTTCTTTCTTTCTTTCTTTCTTTCCTTTCTTTCTTTCTTTCTTTCTTTTCTTTCTTTCTTTCTTTCTTTTCTTTCTTTCTTCCTTTCTTCCTTTCTCTCTCTTTCTCTCTTTCTTTTTGACTAGCTCTATTCCATTCCACTCTATTCCTTTCTACTTCTGATACAAATTTCTGCATGTTAAGATACTTTCAGTTGCAAACAACAGAAACCATGTCTGGCTTATTAAACTAAGAAAAACACTGATACAGCTCACAAATTAAAGAAACTGTTCTATAAAAAGCCTTATGGAGAATGCAAGGATACTCTGTAGAGGTCATCAGTATGAACTCATGAAACTTTTCTTCAGGAAACCACCATCAGATGGTAGCTCAAATCACCAGGAAAGGGAATATTACTGTCCCACCTTGGCTCAAGTCTTTCAAAGTTTAGATTAGCAACTTCCAGCTCCTGGTTAGCCATGCCAGGGAATAGGGGAGTGAACACAGATTTAGTCAATGTAGAACTGGTTGTAGACAAGCAGACCAATTAGATCTAAAACCATGAGAGACTATGGACTCTGAGAAACAAACAGAGTTTTAGAGGGGAAGGGGGAGGGGGGATTGGTTAGCCCCATGATGGGTATTAAGGAGGACACATACTGCATGGAGCACTGGGTGTTACACAAAAACAATGGATCACCACATCAAAAACTAATGATGTATTGTATGGTGACTAACATAACATAATAAAATTCAAAAAAATGATGATAAATTAATAATTCCTTATATTAATGTTTCTTTTTTTTAAGATTTTATTTTTTTATTTGACAGAGAGAGACAGCAACAGCAGGAACACAAGCAGGGGGAGTGAGAGAGGGAGAAGCAGGCTTCCCGCTGAGCAGTGAGCCCGATGTGGGGCTCGATCCCAGGACCCTGGGATCATGACCTGAGTCGAAGGCAGACGCTTAATGACTGAGCCACCCAGGCGCCCCTTAATGTTTTTTCTTAATGAAGGACTTACAATATTCATATTAGCTTCAGGATTTGTGACACTTCTTCTCTTGTGATAACCATATATAGGTCCAAGAAGAAGCATCCAGTATGCTGCTGCTAAAAGCTGCCACATTTGGGGTCTGCCTGGGAAAGGAAATATTAATATATTTGTCATCAAAGAGAATTCTACAAGTGAACTTTGGTGTAATCCTTCTATAATATGACTGTAAGAGAGAGTAGAAACCTGCTTCTAGGTTGTGCTTTAGCAAGCAATAAACTTAATATTCAAGACTCATTCCATGAAAAATCTGAAATTATGAATTTTTAGTAAGAAAAGAAAGAAGAAAGGAAGGAAGGAGGAAGGAAAGAAGAAAGAAAGCATAAACCTCAAATAAGTCTCCACTAGATAGCTGGACAAAAGAAGGGAATGTAGAATTTGCAGAGAAAGAAATACAATGGCCAATATATTAATAAAGCACGTTCAATATCTCTAGTTACCAAATGAATTAATTCCTTTTTTTCTAATCATGGGAGTAAGCATCGGCACAATCTTTATGGAGAGAAATTTATTAACATGACTTACAAATTTAAAAATATTCATTCTTTTCACTCAGCAATTCTATTTCCAGCAGTCTATCCAAAGGAAAATTAATATACATAATAAAAAAGAAATAATTATTATAAAATCATTCCTGATTATATATCTTAATATAGTGAAATTTACCAAATAAGAGATTGATAAAATAAATTATGGGTGAGGAAGAATGGTATTATCCAGCCACCAAGTATAATATTTATATGTGTTATGTGAAATCTCTATTATATAATATTAGGGGAAAACAATGTAAATTGTGCATATATTTTGAGCCCAATGTTAAAACAAATGATAAAGAGGACAAAAAGACTGTCACCTGCCAAACTCCTCATGATTGACCCCAAGATCTGACCTTGGCTGCCCACCTGCATATACATATCCGTATTTGTCCCACATTTTCCTTAAGTTCTTTCTCCCAGCCTATCTCTTAACTCAGGAAAAAGACATGACAGGCACAGCATCCCATGATAGAAACTGAAACCACCCCTCAAGCAATAAGGATTGCCCAGAGGAAGAGCTCCCATGGCCCAGAGCACCCTGACCAGTGTGAGCTTAAACCCGACTCACGCCTGTGCAGATGGACCATGGAGTGACCTGCAGTTACCTCTACCTCATTATAACACTAAAATCTCCACCCAAAGAGGAACACAAGCCTATTTACATAACATGCAAAGTGTGTACAGGCATGGTCCCTTAAGGTGCATGCTCAACCTTATCCCTGCCTCTACATTCAATGACAAGGCTCCTCTATCTAAATACTCATCCTAACCCTGAATAAAAGGAACCCACCCACCTTGCTTGGGGATCCCAGCTTTGGAAGTTAATCCCCGTGATCTCCTTATTTGCCACAAATAAAGTTTTCTTTGTGTGACAACTCACTTGGTATAGTTTCTACCTGTGACTCACCAAGGGGCAAACTCAAGGTTAGTTCAGTTACGTAAACACCAAATTTTAATTATGGTCTAGATGTTGAATGTTTCATTATGTCTAGGTGGTGAATATTTGGGTGATTATTTTCTCATTTTTCAGGACTTTCCGTGCTTTATAATTTTTTTATATCCAGTATTACTTTATCGTAAGAAAGAAGTTACTTTTCTTTTTTTTTTTTTTTTTAAGAAGTTACTTTTCAAATAGAAAATTGTCAGAATTGTGGGGGAGAAAAGATGATTATATTCTCCATTTGGCTTTGAAACCACTTAAGTTTAAAAGCAACAAACAAGTAAACAACTGCAGAAATAACACAGGGGGACACTTTGCAGGAGACTTCCCATTACTACAGTCTTTACAAAGTGAAGACCTTCAATTTATGTTGGAAAACACACCCTAGCTGTTAGTATGTTCTTTTTTTTTCAATATAAGACAGATGGTAAGTCTCACCCTGTAGGAAATGGGAGGATTTTTCAGAAGATGCTCCAGTATTGTTATAGAAAATTCCATGAATGTCTCTCTTGGATATATCAAGGTCATAATCTCTGTTGACTGTATGTATTAATATAATTAATTTATATTATAATATGATCAATGTGGTAAATATGTATTTTATATTAATATAATATATTTATATATAACTCATATTGATTGATACAGCTTAATTCTGGTGAATCACATTGGTAGTGATAACACCACCAATAGTAGTAATTATTATTACTAGTGCAACTATCCACTGAGCCCCTATTATGTGCCAAGTTAGGTGCCAGACATACATCATCTCATTTATTCTCAAACTGATCCCAAGAGCTAAGAAATATTATCTCCATTTTATTTCAACTGAGACTGGGTCTTAAAGAGGTCAAGTCATTTGCCTGAGAATCTGACTCTTGTTGCCAGGCTCTGAAGAAAATGCTCCTGAGCATTGTGTTCCTAACCACTTGGTCCATTGGGAATAGGCTTCCAGGGCCCTCTGGTTACTATGTGCCTGACTGGTGTCGCATAGACCGTAGAACACAGGCACCATAATTACTACAAACTCAGAACCCCACCCCAGCCAACTTGAATGAGACTCTGTGGGGGGTGTGGCCAGGGATCTGCATTTTCAGCCATCATTCCAAGTGATTCATTCATATGCATTCCAACCTGTGAGGAACAACTAGACTGCCTGGATTCCTTGAGAAAAGAAACTTTTTTGTTCTCATTTCTGTCCCTCTGAGACCTAGCATGGAGGTTCCTGATGTGGGAAACAAAGGCAGAATGAAACATAGATAAAATTAAATGTCCTTATAACCTGCAGCCCGTTGACAAATACTTGAGGCAGGCAGGGTATAATGTTCCTCCAGGAAGCTCCCAACTCAATGTTAATGCCTTGCTAGAGGGAAAAGCAACCTTAGTTTGACAATAGCAAGGCCTCCTGTATCCTGTGAGTCTTCTTTAGCATATGAAAATCCTTCTGGGACTTCCCTATCTTTACTTCCCCCAACTTCAAAGTATATAATCAGTTGCCACTCACAATCCTGGGGCAGCAGCTCTTCCTGCCCATGGTCCTGTCCCCGTGCTTTAATAAAACCACCTTTTTGCACCAAAGAAGTCTCAAGAATTCTTTCTTGGCCCTCCGCTCCGGACCCCACCAAACCTCACCTATATATATCCAAAACTCCATCAGTTCCTATAAATGTTTGTCAAGTAAATAGATGGGTGAAAGACTGAATGAGTACATCATTTAATCTTAAAGATGACCCCACATTGACTCACCATTTTGCATTATATCTTTTTTGCCTCATTTCATTTTGTCAGCGAGCCCTCTTGCTTAACTGTAGACCCCAACAGATAAAACCAGAAATAGACAAGGCAGCTCAACTCATGTTCTAACTAAAACCCATTGTGCCGATTCCTTATCATACTTTCTTGAGACGTTGACAAAGACACTTTGCAATGACCAGAACATTCCAACCACGGACCAGAAAAGTCCTGAGAGCAATGAAATGTCTAGAAGACCACACCCTACAGGTCCCCTTCCCAGCCCGTGATGATGCACTAATCACATACAGCTCCTATCCATGACTAGGTGCTCTCTGCCTGCTCCCCTGCACATATACCCTGTTCTCCCCAACCCCCCAAACTCTCCTATAAAACTCGAGGTGTTCCTTTTTGCCGCAGAGAAGTCTGTTGTTCAGGGAGAAGCCTGCCACCTCCCTCAGCTGCCGGCACCCAAAATAAATCCTTTTCTCTTTTCCAAACCCTTGTCTCTTGAGATATCGGCTTCTCTTGAGCCGAGTTTATCTGAATTTGTTTGGCAACAGAGTTGACAACCCAGCCCAGAGCTATGCTCTCAACCTGTCCAGCCCCCTTGGAGTCCCCCAGAGGGAGTGGCTTAGCTGTTTGTTTTCTGAGTTAGCCACTGTGATAGATCGATCAGTAACAATTTCACCCCGCTCCACTGGTCCTCTCTTACAGTAAACTTTGAGAGTTGATTATGTCCTTAGTTCAGGATTATCTTATGGGAAGGCATGAGGGAAAATTTTAAAAGTGGTCTTTTCTCTCAAAGCACTCACAATTTAGTGGTTTCTGTGGAGTGGTTGACATTTGGGCCTCTGAGTTACAGTCACTGCTGTGAAGGGCCCCTGCGTTAGAGAGCATCCAGCTCCCTTCTATAATGGGCCTGCTGGAGAGCCTCTGGGGCCTGGGCTGGTGCAGAGGAGCTGGACCATGTGCCACCTGTAGGAAGAACTGGAGTCTTGTCCTAAGGGATGGCGCAAGACTGTCCTAGTCATGACGGGCTGTGTTGTGTAGCCGTGACATCGAGCCCATTGGGCTGCTTTGTTTCATACCTTGGTGTGCTGGATCTGGGTTTGGAAGGATGACATGCCCAGACAAGAGCAGTCTCTGTCTTCCATTTCGGTTAGTGGTTCTAACCAAACAGCCTCTCTTCAGGCACCTCTCACCAGGGCTGTTCTGACTTGTACTTTTGAGGGGTGTACTTACCTGCTCTGCCCTATCTGAGTCTCACAATATTACCTATAATTGTCGGGTGAGGCTGCCTAATTTAGACACTTCTCCTTCATGATACTCCAAGAGTCCTCTTATTTCTTTGATGGGTTTCCATGACAGCTCCCTGACGAAAGCATCTCACACTGACATCCTGCTGGCCTACACGAATGCATAGAAAGAAAGCAGCCATGATAAATTCCGGGGGGTTTTCAGTCCTTAAAGTTGAGATCAGGGCCTCAAGTCTCCAGACTTAATCAACATAGATTATATATATTTTAGGTCTATATATATATATATATATATATATATAATGTATGTATTTTAGGTTTATATATATATATATAGTTATACATATATAATCTACATATAGATTATATTGATTTATCACTCTAAATCAGCATTTCACACTCTTTTCTATGAAACATGACTCCCAGAAGATGTTACTTGTTAGAAGAGCTCACAGGAAAGCATGTATATATAGTTTATATCATATATAAAAATTATATATGATAGTATGTTTATCAACCCTGGTTTTTGCCCACTAAATGCCAATAGCCACCCATTAGATTATTCAAATATGCATCCTCATCTTTCCAAATGTCCCCTAGGGTGAACGA